GCCCATATTTTCAGATTGAAATAATCGATTCCGATAAATGTCACACTAAAATTTTCTGGAGACATTGGGGAATGTGACGAGATCAAAAGAGCCAACCTGCGAGGTACTGTTTCAGAGTTACGGCTGTCGGAAGTTTTGGCGTACTGTTATAACCGAAATTGAAAATTAAACGTTTATGAGTCTGTATCTAGCGAACTATTGGATATATCGCAAAAATTCTTTCACCAAAATTGGGAAATCTTAAGTGAATCTTAATTCTTTCGGGATTTTGTCCATGGGTTATCTATCTGCTTACATTTTCTACTTTCTTTGAAACGAAATTTAGCAAAATATACTGATTTAGTACCTACTAAATTGGTTTGTCAATTTCGTGTGGACGTATTTATAGGTAGAGGTAGACGCATGGGTACGTTGGCATAGGAAGGTAGCAAACATCAATATTACGCCATTAAATTACGTAAGCTCTCGAAATTACATTACGGATGCATTTGGTGTGCCCTACAGCCCTTTGATTAGCTTAATGTACATATATATACTACTTACATACATATGTGTATACCATACATATATATATAAACTCGTATATTCCAGAGGAGCCGGACAGCGGCAGGATGCTTCGTGTAAACGCGAACAGGAACATATTGTTTCGAAACTGTTTTACGAACATAGCGCCGGGGGTAATTAATTAACCTCAAGTTGACCGATTGTCAGTCAATCTGTCATCGTAATTTAACGAAAACATGATGCGGTTTCCGATTTTAATAATCGTAGTTGTCAAATAAACTAAATTGATTGATAACCGGGTTCGTTTTGTAGTTTTGACGGGGTTTTACGGTAGAAATACGAGGGCGGTTCAATAAGTACCCGTGTTTGAAGACAGAGGACGTTCGTGAGGGAAATTGGTGTTGTCATCGTGTGCTGCCATCTATCAAATCACGCCAAAACGAATTTCAGACTGATTGATAGGTTAGTTTGGATTTGGCAGCCATTCGACTGAGACGTGTTTCGTTATTTTCGCTAAGATGGAAAAAGAGCAGTATCGTTCGGTAATTCGCTTTTTGTTTTTGGATGGGAAAAAATGCGAGGAGATGAAAACAAAGTTGGGTACTGTTTATGGAGACATTTCGCCTTCTACAACCACAGTTAGATATTGCTTCAACGAATTTAAACGTGGGCAAAGATCCGTTTTCGATAGGAGCGATCAGGAAGCCTGGCAAACGTTGTTACCGAGGAAATCATTTTACGGATTTTTTAGGAAAAGGAAGAACGATCACTGGACAATTCTACAGTGAGTTATTGGACCGCTTCGACAAAAAATTGAAGGAGACACGGACGCATTTGACGAAAAAGAAGGTGCGTTTTCAACACGATAACGCACCGGCACATTCATCAGGAGTTGTTGCAGCCAAAATGCATGAATTACACCATGAATTTACTGCCGCACACCCCGTACTCACTCGATTTGACTCCCTGCGACTTCATCTTGTGCCCTACCATGAAGAAATGACTAGCGAGAAAGAAATTTAGCTCAAACGAGGAAGTCATCGCCGAGACAGGGGGGGATTTTGGAGAGTTCGACAAATCTTATTCTTTGGAGGGGTAAAAAAAATGGCAGGGTCGTTGGAAGGAGTGTATCTTTCTAAAAGGGGACTATGTTGAAAAATAAAAAACAAATTTTAAAAAAAAGGTGTCTTCATGTCTAACACGGGTAGTTATTGAACCGCCCTCGTAACTATTTTGAGTTGATCTGTAGGTACTTATGCACTGGAGGCGATTTGACGATTGAACATAAACGTAATTCTACTACATGCAATCACCAAAGGGCGACAGTAAAAGCTTATTAAATAAATACGAAACGTTTTGCTGTTTGAATGTGACTTAAATTGTCCTTGGAATGTATGCAGTATGATCTTGTTAAATTTATTTAAAGTTTTTTTTTTTAATTTTATGATGTTCATATATTAGCTACCCCAATATGGCATATATTTTTTTTGTTATTTTGACTTTTTTATTTTAAACGAATATAATAGTACAATATAATATCCTTGCTTTTCTTGTTTTAAGGTCAAAAATATTTTTTTAACTCTATTCTCTCTGTTTGTTACATACGATTAAATATTTCTAATTATAAAAATCTTTTGGGTTCTTCCTATATTACAATGAAAGTCATTTGTTACAGAAGTCGCAATCTGGCGAGATGGAGGATTCCAGGGATCCTTGTTGCTTTTGGTCGGGGGTGAGTCCTTTTTATGTCCTGATAAGAGGTGGCGATCTTAATTTTGTATTATATGTATACTAAAGTTGAAATATACATTATGTAGAATTCGGCTGTTTCATTCTGATTTTTTTGATTCAGTTGTTTTTAGTATTATCAAAATTATTCAAATGCCAAATTGTTCACTTTAATTATTTATAAAGTGTTTTAAGTTGAAGTTATTTGTTTTTAATTTCTTTCAGATTTTTATTTTTAATATTTTTGGTTTTACTTTCGTCATATCTGCTGCAGATTAATTTAATTTCTCATTAATTAAAAGTAATTAAGATGTCACCTTCAACAGAATATTACAGTTAAGTGATAGGGTTCTTTTTATTTGTTTCTTTTATTGTTCTTTTATATGCACCTCAAACCCAAACACCATTCCTCAAATATACATGTGTATAATAATGTAAACATCATAATATGTTATGTATGTATAGTATCTAATTATGGAAATAAATTAATTAAATGGTTTTTTAATCATTTTATATTTAGATCACGTGAATGTTTACGTAAATGTAAAGCTATTATCAATTAGTTAATTTTTGAAATGTTTCAATATTATTGTAGGTATTACATTTTATTTTAAAACACTTAAACATTATTAATTTCCTAACGAATTCATGTTTAGGTAAATTGAAGAGTCACATTGTTAAAGAAATTATTGTTGCACAAAAAATAGTAAATGACTAATTATCTACACATCTGAAAATTTTTATTTTGTGAAACTGGTAAAAATTAACAATAATTATTAGATATTAAAACATACTGATGCAAAAAGGTTTTGTTGAAGTTGTAATTTCATTTCTTCTTCGAAAAGCTTGACGAAATTACTGCTGCACAAACAAAAAGTTAATAAATAATTGATCTGTGCAAAAACAATAGCAATGAATTTATTTCATTAGCATGAATTTAGAAAATGGTGAATCTTTTTTATTTTTAATCTAATATTTAATATTTAGCATCTATTTTATTTCAATGTTAGTGTTTAAAAGCTGCGGCAAATCTAAATTTGCACGTATCAATTGGTTATTTACTTTTTGTTTGTGCAGCAGTAATTTGGTCAAGCTTTTCGAAAAAGAAATAAAATTACAACTTCAAGAAAACATTTTTTACAACAGTATGTTCCATCTAAACTTTTGTGGTCAGTTATATGACAAATTAGACATGTGTTTATTTAAAAAAAACGCATTTAGGTAATGTACATGTAATATATAAGCACTTTAAAACGTAAACCATTTGTTTTTTTGTTTAATTTATACACAAACTGATATTAATGTAAATAAATGCATTTAATTTAGTTATTTTATACATTACACTCTGTTTGTATGCACTTTTCACATATACCTATGATGCACATTAATTTCTTTTTGTCTTCCAGGTTTCAGCATTTAGGACAACTACCAGGAGACTTGAATCACCTCGGGAATGGTAGGCACATCTCGTTCGCAGCGCGGGAACGTATCGTACGCCCAAGCACCGCTGGAAGAACACCCCCGCATCGCCTGAGACTCGTGGACACTTCCTACAACGCTGGACTTCACCTCGGGAGAACACCCCTGCACCGCACATGGCGGGGGACGTCGCCGTCCCGTCCCCTGCAGGAACGGGGGCGCTATCTCCCCGCATCGCTGCGCACATGGCGGGGGACGTCGTCATCCCGTCCCCTGCAGGAACGGGGGCACTAAGCCCCCAGCGTCGCACCGCACATGGCGGGGGACGTTGTCATCCCGTCCCCTGCAGGAACGGGGGCACTATGCCCCCAGCGTCGCACCGCACATGGCGGGGGACGTTGTCATCCCGTCCCCTGCAGGAACGGGGGCACTAAGCCCCCAGCGTCGCACCGCACATGGCGGGGGACGTTGTCATCCCGTCCCCTGCAGGAACGGGGGCACTAAGCCCCCAGCGTCGCACCGCACATGGCGGGGGACGTTGTCATCCCGTCCCCTGCAGGAACGGGGGCACTAAGCCCCCAGCGTCGCACCGCACATGGCGGGGGACGTTGTCATCCCGTCCCCTGCAGGAACGGGGGCACTAAGCCCCCAGCGTCGCACCGCACATGGCGGGGGACGTTGTCATCCCGTCCCCTGCAGGAACGGGGGCACTAAGCCCCCAGCGTCGCACCGCACATGGCGGGGGACGTTGTCATCCCGTCCCCTGCAGGAACGGGGGCACTAAGCCCCCAGCGTCGCACCGCACATGGCGGGGGACGTTGTCATCCCGTCCCCTGCAGGAACGGGGGCACTAAGCCCCCAGCGTCGCACCGCACATGGCGGGGGACGTTGTCATCCCGTCCCCTGCAGGAACGGGGGCACTAAGCCCCCAGCGTCGCACCGCACATGGCGGGGGACGTTGTCATCCCGTCCCCTGCAGGAACGGGGGCACTAAGCCCCCAGCGTCGCACCGCACATGGCGGGGGACGTTGTCATCCCGTCCCCTGCAGGAACGGGGGCACTAAGCCCCCAGCGTCGCACCGCACATGGCGGGGGACGTTGTCATCCCGTCCCCTGCAGGAACGGGGGCACTAAGCCCCCAGCGTCGCACCGCACATGGCGGGGGACGTTGTCATCCCGTCCCCTGCAGGACCGGTCCGGGGGCACGAGGCCCCCGGACCGCAGGGCGGGGGACGCAAGCGTCCCCCGCGGGATCGGGGGGAGGGACACCCCCCGCACAGTGAAATAAGGAGGGGATGTAATCAAAAAATTTTTAAATAAATAAGTATTTTTATTTACATTGTTTTATTATTATTACAAAAAAAAGCCGCTCCGGTCCTGCTCCGAAAGTTCCCCAGAGTCACGGTGACTCCGGGGTCACCCCCCACGCAAGCCCCGGAATACCCCAGAGTCACGATGACCCCGGGGTAGCACCCCCCACGCAAGCCCCGGAATCGCGGTATTCCGGGGCTGTTCCCGGAATACCCCAGAGTCACGATGACCCCGGGGTAGCACCCCCCACGCAAGCCCCGGAATCGCGGTATTCCGGGGCTGTTCCCGGAATACCCCAGAGTCACGATGACCCCGGGGTAGCACCCCCCACGCAAGCCCCGGAATCGCGGTATTCCGGGGCTGGATGTTCGCGGATGCGCGGTTACGTTGAAGTCCTGGGTCCTGGTGGGTCCTGGTGAGGCCCGGTGGGTCTTGATGAGTCCTGGTTGGTGTCCTGGGTCCTTGTGGAGGGTCCTGTTTGATCCTAAATGGCGGATCTTGCTGAGGGGTAGTTGTTGTGGTGATTCCTGTTAGAACAACCTGAAGAGTTATTACTGGGAAAATCTGAAACAAAAATAATTATCAAAAAAATAAGATGCAAACAATTAATATTAATAAAATTAATTTACTCTAAAATTTAATGTTAATTATATGTGATCAACTTCTATCAAAACAAGTTTCAATAAANCTTAAACGCTAATTTTTCTTTCAATTGTATCCAAAAAAGAGCATTTTTTCTTTAACTGATGTATGGTCTGATTTAACTTTAATTTATTGCTTAAAATACAATTTCTTTCTTTATTGTACCTAAGTGTGCAGTGCCAAATATTAATTTTCAATTACAGTGATTAAATCAATAGGCTAAATTATATTACGACTGTGGATGAAAAACAAAATACAATATAAAACATGCGGGCTAAACATCAGCATCCCCTAGCCAATCCTACATATTTCCAATTCATTCTCACAAAAGAAAAAGTAGTGACGTTGTATAGGATGACCCTCGGTTAACATGCATCCCCGAAACGGGGGATCCAAGTTGATGGGAATATGAGGCCTCCCACAGTTCTAACTAGACCGGGGTTACAAATCATCTACCCTCGTCATTTCAGTGGCGTACATTTAGAAACGATTCTCTACCTTTTTCTGTCCTTAATCCTGATTTGTATAAAGCTACAAAAGATCTTTCGCGTTACACAACCACAATCCAAGACGACGTTAGATATAATCCAAAGTGGCGAAATTTTTCCGAAATAGTTTTCAAAATATCGTTCGCTTAACTGTACGCCATTGATATAAATCATCGGCACTTGATATAACATACCCCATCATTGATGAATCAGCAAATTAAACGACACAACTTTATTTGATTAGAGAACCCATTCGTACAACAGCTATCTCTCTCCATTATAGCATGAGAAAATATAATTGTGAAAATGATGAGTTATTACTGAGGGTGAATGAATCGGCAACAGATCTTGTTTTAAAAATTTATACGTTATTGATTATAGACAATGACAAGAAGATACTTGTGTCTACGTAGAAATTACAAATTTACAATATCGACAAACAAATTATTTGTTGACTTAAAACAAAAACATCTTTTTGTCGATCATGAGAAAGTCGATATGATTTGAAATGGTTCATCTGTGTACAAGCAGCTTGTTATGAGATAAGATCGCATTATATAAGTCGAGAGACTTCGTTCTCTATAAAAGGGTACGATTATAAGCAAAAAATTCATTCATAAACTAAGTAACAATGCTACTTGCCTGTATGAAGGTTGACCTCGACTTAAATTCCTCCCAGTCATTCATTAGATCAACTCCACGGAAGATATCGGAAACCGGCAAAAATACAATGTGCTCGAAGTTAAAGTTTTATTTTCGGAAAATTATGAAATCCAAAACTGAGAGTTTCCATTGACCATGAAAATCGAAATCGCTTCGTTTGAATCATGTTGAAAATCCAAATGGTTTGGAGTGTTCCATCTGAAACAAAACAGAAAACAATTGTACAAATTTGTCACATATTTTTTTTTTATAACTGTTGTCGTATGTACCCCAATTACTAATTTGTCCAAACTCAAATATTTACAGGCGCCTTCTCCTAAAAGAGAGGAACTTGTCTTACAATTAGCTATATTTTTGGAAAACAACCAACAGTGTAATACAATAGTCCAGTTAAAATTTTATCAATAAAAGATATCTGAAATCTTTTCTGCCTATTTCTGAGAGTTTTCCAGAGACGTTGTAGTAGTTCATGAAGAATTATCCTAGTTAATCCTTTTTAATCCCAGTTGTTGAAAAGATCATTACAGAGAGTTCTGCTAACAGTTATGGTGACGGACCTTGCTGAAGGTAACTCCTGGGTGGAGTGTCCTGTTTGTTCCTAGTATCAACTGGGATCACCAAGTGGTTTGATAGATCTGAAACAAATATTCTTATTAATGAATAATGCACTGCCATGTACGAAAAATTCCAATAACATGTAAACAATTAAAATGAATTTATTTTAAAATTTAACGTGTTTGATCTGATTAACTTCCTTCGAAACAAGTTTTAAAAATAATAAAATGATATTTACTGTTGTGATGGATCCTTCTGGATGGTGATGGTTGTAGTAGGTCTTAGTGGAATATTCTAGTTGATCCTAGTTGTCCCCAGTTGAAAAAAATTATTATTGAAGGTCCTGATAACTGTTGTACTGACGCATTTTGTTGAAGGATAGTCCTGGGTGGAATGTTCTAATTGATCCTAGTTGACCACAATTGTGGGCGTAGATCCTGATTCAATGTCCTGTTTAGTCCCAGTTGGTCCCAGTTATTTTCCAAGAACATTCCTAATGATGGTAGTTGAATTGGGTTGGTGGTTTGATCGTTGGAAGAACCTGTAACAAATATATCCAAAAATAAGGCAATGTCATTAACGAAAAATTGGTATAAAATGTAATTAAAAACAATTTAAATAAATTTACTGTAAACTCTTACAAGTATATATTTTTCTTATATAAATAATCTATAATTTTATAACATGATGCATGATCGACTTCTCTCAAAACGATTATTTAGTTTTTCCAAAATTTTCAGTTTTATATAGGTCAACAATACCAAAATAGTTTAATCAAAGTAAGTTGCTTTTCAAAAAGATATTTTATAAATTTTTAAAATAAATTTTTAATCTTTAAGTTCCTAAAAGAAAAAACAAATAATTTCCATGAATTTCTTAAACGCTAATTTTTCTTTCAATTGTATCCAAAAAAGAGCATTTTTTCTTTAACTGATGTATGGTCTGATTTAACTTTAATTTATTGCTTAAAATACAATTTCTTTCTTTATTGTACCTAAGTGTGCAGTGCCAAATATTAATTTTCAATTACAGTGATTAAATCAATAGGCTAAATTATATTACGACTGTGGATGAAAAACAAAATACAATATAAAACATGCGGGCTAAACATCAGCATCCCCTAGCCAATCCTACATATTTCCAATTCATTCTCACAAAAGAAAAAGTAGTGACGTTGTATAGGATGACCCTCGGTTAACATGCATCCCCGAAACGGGGGATCCAAGTTGATGGGAATATGAGGCCTCCCACAGTTCTAACTAGACCGGGGTTACAAATCATCTACCCTCGTCATTTCAGTGGCGTACATTTAGAAACGATTCTCTACCTTTTTCTGTCCTTAATCCTGATTTGTATAAAGCTACAAAAGATCTTTCGCGTTACACAACCACAATCCAAGACGACGTTAGATATAATCCAAAGTGGCGAAATTTTTCCGAAATAGTTTTCAAAATATCGTTCGCTTAACTGTACGCCATTGATATAAATCATCGGCACTTGATATAACATACCCCATCATTGATGAATCAGCAAATTAAACGACACAACTTTATTTGATTAGAGAACCCATTCGTACAACAGCTATCTCTCTCCATTATAGCATGAGAAAATATAATTGTGAAAATGATGAGTTATTACTGAGGGTGAATGAATCGGCAACAGATCTTGTTTTAAAAATTTATACGTTATTGATTATAGACAATGACAAGAAGATACTTGTGTCTACGTAGAAATTACAAATTTACAATATCGACAAACAAATTATTTGTTGACTTAAAACAAAAACATCTTTTTGTCGATCATGAGAAAGTCGATATGATTTGAAATGGTTCATCTGTGTACAAGCAGCTTGTTATGAGATAAGATCGCATTATATAAGTCGAGAGACTTCGTTCTCTATAAAAGGGTACGATTATAAGCAAAAAATTCATTCATAAACTAAGTAACAATGCTACTTGCCTGTATGAAGGTTGACCTCGACTTAAATTCCTCCCAGTCATTCATTAGATCAACTCCACGGAAGATATCGGAAACCGGCAAAAATACAATGTGCTCGAAGTTAAAGTTTTATTTTCGGAAAATTATGAAATCCAAAACTGAGAGTTTCCATTGACCATGAAAATCGAAATCGCTTCGTTTGAATCATGTTGAAAATCCAAATGGTTTGGAGTGTTCCATCTGAAACAAAACAGAAAACAATTGTACAAATTTGTCACATATTTTTTTTTTATAACTGTTGTCGTATGTACCCCAATTACTAATTTGTCCAAACTCAAATATTTACAGGCGCCTTCTCCTAAAAGAGAGGAACTTGTCTTACAATTAGCTATATTTTTGGAAAACAACCAACAGTGTAATACAATAGTCCAGTTAAAATTTTATCAATAAAAGATATCTGAAATCTTTTCTGCCTATTTCTGAGAGTTTTCCAGAGACATGGGTGTTAAAGACAGACTCAAACTTAACCAAGCGTGCAATTTACTGATATTCCTTAACTATTATCGTATGTATCTAATTACTAATTTATCCAAACTCAAATATTTACAAGCGCCTTCTCCTAAAAGAGAGGAATTTGTCTTGGATATCGTTTCGGAAAACAACCAATAGCATAATACAACAGTCCAATTAAATTCCATCAATAAAAAACATCTGAAGTCTTTTTCTGACTATTCCTGAGAGTTTTCCAGAGATATGGGTTTCAAAATCAGACTTAAACCTATCTTAACTGAGCGTGCAATTTATCGATATTCCTTAACTATTATCGTATGTACTTAATTACTAATTTGTCCAAACTCAGATATTTACATGCGCCTTCTCTTAAAAGAAAGAAATTTGTCTTGGATATCTTTTTGGAAAACAACCAATAGCCTAATACAATAGTCCAATTGAATTCCGTCAATAAAAAATATCTGACGTCTTTTTCTGCCTATTTCTATGTTTTAACTGAGCGTGTAATTTACAGATATTCCTTAACTGATCGTAGGACTTAAAGAAAAGTCACCTTCATTTCACCAAACCAATTAGTACTACGAATTGCATTTGAAACGTCAAACTCATGCTCTTTCGTGTAGGCAAATACCACGTACAAAATTTGATAGATAGATAATGATCGACGGTATCGACTGACTAATAACGGAGCCGCTGGCCTCCTCAATCAAACCTATCATGGAGGTGTTACAAGGCATTTTACGAGAACGGTCTCCTGCAGCGATTTACATCTACAACAACATACATTTTCGGCATTGTTTTTAGCCGCTTTTCCAGCGATACGCGCTAATAACTTCACAACGAAGCTAAACAGATATTAATTGCATTGTTTGCCGCAGTACATACACAATTTTAGTACGTCGTGTGGATTGAGAGTAGTGTAATATCGCCACACATGTGTACAAATAAACAGGCTACGATCAATGTTGTAATGGGCAAAACCTAAAGCCGATCTCACGTTATGTACCTATATTGGAATTGTAATCAGTTTTTATTTTCTAATTTCTCTACTTTTTCATATTGTATTTGCATTTCATTCTGAAGTGTGGACTGCCCAACGACTTGTATTCCGGTGTCAAATGATAATTGAGCAGTCCCTTTTGGAATCATGGAAGTAGGTGGATTATGGGGATGATTGGAAACAGAAAGGTAAGATGGACGTGACGAAGACGGTTGAAGATTCAAAGACCATTTGCGGAATACTCCAAATTTCAGTAGTTTCACTATGCATTGTCAGTTTCGAAGATCTTATATTGACAATAAGCACTATATAAAACCCATTTGGATGGAATTGGTTTGAATGAAACTTTGAGCGTTGGAAGTAATCAAAGAGAAGACTGAAGCAATCCAAAATTTTTCAATGTGGAACTAATTCAACTGGAATCATCCAACTTGGAAACAACTGGAGTTAAGTAATCTGCATATCGACTAGACAAGGACGACGACGTGTACATTTACTTTTTAAATTTGATTCTGTTCCCAATAAGCCATCCATATTTGGCGAACGCTTGGTTGGGGATTGTGAGTGAAGTTGTTATATGTCTTTGTTTCAAAATTTTTAAAACAAAAATTTACATAAACGTATCTTGTGATATTTACTCGTTTTTCTTACTAATGCTGAGTTCATTTGAATGCGAAGCCGTCCGACTCCGTTCAGTTTCTACAGAAATGTGTGACCAGCCTTAGCGCGATGTCGCGTTGAAATATTCGCGTTTAACGCGGAATTATTTATGATTGATGATTGTGTATCAGTGTTGAGAGCGACTGATTAGCATTGGACTTCAAACCGGTGGCGGGCGTGACGCCGAAGCGATGCGACGACGTCGGCGTCGGTTCCGTTACCGCATCGCAGTATTATGCCGCTACGCGGCGCCGTTGCCATGGCAACGCGTATTGAAATTCGCAACATCTAAACATTATTTGGGCCGAGACTACTCCTGGAGGAGCAGGATGCCTTATTCAAAAGGCGTCTGAGAGATCCAGCAGGCGCGCGGCGCGGAGCGACAACAATGATTTACTCCGTTCGGAGCGTGGTGGAAAACGCGGTGATTTAACCTTTAGAAAACGTATACTGAAAGCAGTAAATACTTTTATTGCCGAAAAGGTTATACGTTTCGCGCTAGTGTCAAAATAAACGATACTAACAATGTCTTCTTCCTATTGTTGGGACTTACGTGATAAATTTGAAAAAAAAACAGAATTATTTACCCGAATAAAATATTCAAACTTTAATCTAAATGTCCGACAAAAGTTTACGTTTACAAGAAATGTTTAAAAATGTAAAAAAGTATATTTAAAGTAACAGAAACTCGTTGAAAAAATATCATCATCATCATCATCATAAGGTCATTAGTCCTAAGACTGGTTGGACACGTACCTCCACTCTTTCCTATCCTGAGCTAAACTTCGCATTTCCCTAAAACTAGAACAACCCACATCCTTAACTATTTGCGAACAGTAACCTAATCTAGGTCTACCTCTACCCCTCCTAACTCCTGTTTCTGCCTCTAATATGTCTCTGACTAGGCCTTCATGCCTGAGAACGTGTCCTACCAATCTATCTCGCCTATTTTTTATTGACTTCCGTAAAGTCCTCTGTTCTCCTATTCTTTCCACTACCTCTTCATTTCTAACCTTTTCTACCCACGATATCCTCATCATCCGCCTATAACACCACTTTTCGAACGCTTCTAACCTTTTCTTATCCGCAGCTCCCACTGTCCATGTTTCGCACCCGTACAACGCCGTGCTCCAAACATACACCTTTAACAACCTTTTTCGAATTTCTAAATTAACGGTCCCCGAGCATAGAAGTGACTTCTTTTTATTAAAGGCGACACGACCCTGTGTTATCCTCTGCTTTATATCCCTACTACTCCTTCCGTCCTCACTTATCTGACTTCCTAGGTATCTAAAATCAGCCAAAAAAATAAGATGTCACAATTTTATCGTTTAATTGCTGTAGTGTTTAAAGGAAGTATATTTGAATTTATAGGCATATTGTTCTAGAAAACAATTTCAAACTTCCAAGTTTTAATTTTTCCTCTGCTTATACTCATTGTGGTATCTAATTGCTTATAAAAATCCGAGGGAGTCAGAGCGATTACGTCTTCCAGGAGGTCGTGTTTGCATAAAAAGTGCTAAAGACTCGGTTTTATTATATGGAACATAAACACCACTTTAGACGCTTCAGATTCTACTTGAAGAAAGCATAGAAATTAGGCACATTATTATGGCATGCAGGGATTCACCCTGCTTCCTGATTCTCTTTTCGGCTCTTTCTCCTGTTTCTTCTGATTTTCCAACGAAAACGTTTGCTGTTACCGAACGCTCATAAGGGTACACAGGGTGTTTTTAAGAGAGACGCCGGGTCGCCTAATGTACCGTGCTTTGTACGTGTCAGTCTATTTGATGCAGCTTGATCTTTGACATTGAAATGAACATCCTGTGTACTGAGTGTTGTAACTAATGGTGTTGGTGCGCCGACAGCCGTTGTCGTTGACGTCGATGGCGTAGCGTCGCGACGCGTCGCCGGTACGGTGGCTACACAACGCCTTTGTTCAAGTCAGCGGATATCTTTCGCATATCGATCTCCCTCGGCCGAGCCTGTTGCTGGGCAACGCGAGTCAATCTGGTCGACACAGGGCAAAGAAGGATATTTTTTTATTTATTATCCACCATTATCCCTGTGCTCTTTCTCTTCTTCGTCTTCGCTCGCTCGCTCGCCCTCTCTTCCAGTCGCCTCTGTCTCTCTCAGTGCATCGCGACGCTGGGCGACTGCTGACAGTAGTAGTAGTGGTTGTAGGT